AGTCGAATAAACTTGGTTCCCGTTCTGGAATTTCTTGGCATAGCGTCACCAGCAATTGCAGAGAAAGTAGCTACAGGAAGCTCCTTTGTTGTGGCCTACGCCGTACACAAAGTATTTGCACCTGCTAGAATTAGTATTACGTTGGGTGCAATACCGTTCATCATCCGATATTTGAGATCAAAAGGATTCCAGTTTTCAAAAATCAAAAAAATTAGCTATTTTTAAATATTTGTTTTTATACCATTGTTATCAGAATTAAGTATGATGTTATATAATCCTATGAAGTTCAATACTTTATAATTTGGTTGACCAAATAAAAAGGTGACACTCAAATTAAAATTGATTTTAAATTAGTTTCCATAAAATTTAGCAAATATTTGGCCAACATTGTTATTTTATCTGAAAGGTTATAGAACTGCGCAAATTAGTCGAATACTTTCTTCAAGAAGATTTAAATAAATTTAATATTAACATTTAATCATTCGGAAGTGACCTCCGGAAATGTTGTGTTATTATTTTCTATTTATTTTTGTCAATTTTTATTTTGGCAATTCTAATACCCCTATGAAAAATTCGCCACGCTGTAAATGGTTTATTTCCGACACTACATAGAAGATATATTCTTGATAAGCATCACCAGGCGAGTCGATCTAGCCATGCCCGTCCGGCCGTCTGACCGTTTCTACGCAAACTAGTCCCCCAGTTTAAAAGCTATTTGGATCAAACTTAGCAAGAGCCGGTAACATATTGCTCCCATAAAAACAGTCGGGAAAAAAGAAAATAGGAATATAACTTCGTTGTTTTTGGGTTTTAATTTTACGAAACTCCGACGACTATATCATAAAGCTGCCATAGTAACGATTAAAAACATTATTGCAAAAGAGACCGAGCATCGAAATATAGAATATTTAATTTTTGTAACAGCTGCAACAGAATATAAACTTAGCCAAAGTTTTCTTCCTTTATTGTTTTTGGTTAAAATAAAATAAAAAAACATTATTTTAGTAAAAATAGTTATATATGCAATTATACTATTACTATGTTACCTTATTTTTTTTACATTATTGATTTACTTGTGTAATAGATTTACGTGCGCTGATTCCGAATCTGGTCAGGCAAATTACATCATTGTTATTTAAATTATTTAACAATATCAAGTGCGATTCATGAGCTTTTTTCTATATTTTTTTCAAGCAAATGCTGTTAAACGAAATTTTTAGGAAATGAGGGCACACTACTCTTTTAAAAACTATAATAAAAGGCCAAAGAGATGCACAGGTTAAAAAATGGAAATCATGAATGATAGGCAAACTGTTATTGAGGTTTGTTTAAATTGTTGTTACTTTTATGTCTTTTGAAGCTGACAAGCAGAAACTGCGTGGCGATTAGCATACCGAAGTCTATTTCATTATTTTTATTTTTGTTTAACACGCCACAAATCCCAAAAAAGCGTGTAGCGGGTCCTCCATTCTTGGGCCGGGTGTCGTCTTGCCAGAGAGTTTGTATGTGTAAGCAGACGATTCCGGTGTCGACTTGAGGATTTACAAATCGTCCCCTTTTCTTCGTGCTTAAGCTTATTCCCATCAATATAGAGGCAAACGTGTTAATGTTTCATCGAGAAGCCGAGCACTCAAATTCGTCTCAGAATTCGTAGTGGTGCTACCAGCAAGCTACCAAGAAATGCAGTGTTATCTGCATATGTGGCCAGGAGTATACCACGAGCAACTGGGCTTGGCAGATACGAAGCGTAAATTGTGTACAGGACCGGAACAAGGACGCTTCCCTGTGGGACACCAGCACGAATTGGGCGAAGTCCAGAACGATGTCCACGAATATTTACAGCAAACTCCCTGTTATCTATGAACGATTCGATGAGCTTCCAGAGTTTCTCACGCAAAAGGTGCACTAGCTTGTGGAACAATACCTCGTGCCAAATACTGTCAAAGGCCTGTCGAACGTCGAGAAAAACGGCTGAGCAGTATTTGTGATCTTTGAAAGCACTCAGAACTTTGTTAACTACTCTGTGCACTTGCTCGATAGCACAATGGCGACTACGGAAACAAAACTGGTGGTTCGGAAGTGCTTCTTCAAAGGCGTTAATAGATAGAAGTCTAGACTCTGAGGCAATAAGGTGGTTGCAGGGGATGCCTTTGTACACTGCAAAATCAATGGCCGTCGGAAGGTTGTCAGTGATCCAAGGAAAATGAGTGGGTCCGCCAGCAGCCAAAATCTGCATGTTTGTGTCAATGATAACTGACATCAGGGTGTTTCCCCGAAGGCACGAGCGCCTGCACCATCAGAAACGATGGTGCGCATTCCAACCCTCTCCAAAGAGGAAGCGGCTACCTACAAAACCAAATAGACGCATATATTCCTCAGAAGACCAAAAAAGGTGGTGACCAGGTGGACAGTAGACAGCACCAAACGAAATTCTGACAAACCCTGTGACCAAACTAATGGCAACTGCTTGCAGGTGTCATCGTCGGCTGGTAAAATGTGTATCTAAGATCATTAAAATGTCAATGTTGCGTTTCTGGAGGAGGTCCTCAATCTCAAGAGATTTGCCAACCAAGTTGTTGAAGTTCCAAATAAAGATGCTTATACTGTAAGCAGGTACTGCGTGGTGATCAGTACACCGGAGTCTATTAGAAAACTGTAACTGAGCAGAAACATAACTAATGTTTAAATAGGGTATGCTGGGATGGAAAACCAATTTATCCTGTGTGCACTTACTTGTCGTAAGTCAATTCATTTTTCTTTTATATGAAAAAACTAATAGTCTTACGAATAGTGTGTTTTACAAAACTCAATTCACCTTCACGCTTTGTAGTATCACTAACCATATAACATATAGACTGGTCATTTCATACAACCAATATGGACACTCAAAAAACTTTGCGGGAGGCTCCACAGCTGGCAGCGGCCATGATACAATAACATAAGGCTGTCTAAACGTTCGGGTTTTGGTCAGTGCGTGTTCGTTTTTTGAAGGAAAAGGTTGTCTGCGGACGAATTTTTTACAGAATTAACTCTTGAGCAACATGACTTTTTCCAATGTGTGCCGTTGAAAAAATAAAACAATTAGAATTTAGATTTGTACACTACATTGACGATACTTTTAAAATAACAAAGAATGTAAAGAAACTTTAATAATCGCAGCCGAAAATGTTAGTATAAGTTTGGAAATAAAAAAGGTTTTATTTTAAGATTAGAATATATTTTAGAATTAAGAATCTTAACAAAAGACTTAGCATTCAAAGACAAAAACAACGCCTAATTTCAAATTCCAATTAAATTATAAAAAGTTAAACTCCTTTTATTTTGAAAGGCAAAAAAAACCCCTGAACCATCTAAGGGTTCAATGTTATTCACCTTAAGTCAAAGTTGAAAATATATATTTGTAAAGTATATATATTCTTGATCAGCATCACCAGCCGATTCGAATTAGCCATGTCCGACCGTTCGTAACTATAACTTTGTTGTTTCCTAAATTAATTCCATATACTCCAAGATATAATACATTTTAGCAATCTCAGAACAATTCGCAGATTGCAACCCACGGTTTCTGTTATTTTTTTAATTTTACAAAACATTTGTCGTCTATTTTACAAAGATATTTTTATACCATACCATACCAGCGGGTTTTATAATTTCAGTCATAAGTTTGCAACGCAGTGAAGGAGACATTTCCGACCCTATAAAGTATATATATTCTTGATCAGCATCAGCAGGAGAGTCGATCTAGCCATGTCCGTCCGTTCGTCCGTTTCTACGCAAACTAATTCCTCAGTTTTAAAGCTATTAGCTTGAAACTTTCCCAAAAGTTGTCTTTCTATTGCATTTAGTATATAAGTCGAAACGAGCCGCATCGGGCGACTATATCATATAGCCGCCATATAACTGAACGATCGGAAATGCCAAAACTTTGGTGTTTTTAAAGTTGGGATTTTCTATGGGTTTTATTTTTGGGCAATCAATTCGACCTACCAAATTTCATAAGGATCGGCCGACTGTAACCTAAAGCTGCCATATAACTGAACGATTGGAAATGAAATAACTTTGGTGTTTTTAAAGTTAGGAATTTGGGATTTTTTATGAGTATTAAGAATGCATCATATGAATATCCGATTTTGGAGATATAATGTACAGAATATTCTGCAAGGGTATATCAACTTCGGCTCCGCCCGAAGCTAGCTTTCCTTTCTTGTTTAAATATACTGTAGGAAAAGTAAGAAATTTCCACTTCGAACAGCTTCATACATTTCAAATTCATTTCGCCTTACTTGATAAATTTGCAAATGTATTATCTCTATTGCAGGCTTCGACATTAACGTGTACTTCCAATTCAAGAAGTTTTACAACAGCCCAATGGCTGTCCACGATATTACAATTTTTACGGTAAACCACCGTCGTCTCGATTTTCTTGCCGATACAAATTTTTCTGCATAAATACAATTTTCAATCCAAAAAGTATGAAGACATGTAATAGGCCATACTTTTGCCTTTTTACATGAAGTACGTAATGGTCTATTCACTTTTACATGAAAAACTCGTGCTATCATGGCACGCCGGTCATAGGGCATCCAAACTGATACTATATTCTCTGTAATATCCTTCCTTCACATTCAAATTTGTTTAACCAAGCAATTTAAATTTCTCGCAAAATAAATAAAACAAAAAAAAATATTTGTTTTCCTCCTATATAAAAACATGTGAAACGCTATACAAAAATGTTGAAGAACTAGAAAAAATAATTTAAATTTTACTAGTCCAAGCCCGTCTTTAATAATATACTTTAATACTTGTAGACGATTTCTACACGCGTCGAAGCTACAGTACCCAATCGACGTCTCAGTCATCAGCCACAAAGTCTTCCGCCCCATCGAAGTCGGTTTCCACAGAGACATCTGGAGGTGAAAAATTTAATAAAAAAGAGCAACTAAAACGGGCATTTAAGGAATATGGAGTTTCCATTGTGGCGTTCCATGTGGGAATTTCGATAATTTCACTTGGAGGTTTCTATGTACTCGTATCTAGGTAAGGTATTAAGGAGGGGTATACCTTTTTTTGTCGAAAAAAAAATAGGAAAGTTTGGATTTTTTTATGGATTTTTTTATTGCTTTATTAAATGAATGATTATATGTTCTGAAAGTTTAGATTGTTGACAATGTTTATGCAAAAAATTTTAAAAAAATATTTAATAGTTTTTAAGGTGTGGCTGTTTCCTTTAAATGCCTTTTTTTTAAGAGCCTTGCGGTGATAATTCCCCAGGACGAACGGGTCAACTGAAACCGAAAAAATAAAAATATTTCATTAGTTTAAAGTAGTATTCTTTACTTGAACGAACTTTTTTAAAATTTTTTTATTTTGTACCTACGGGAACGTTTTATGCAAAAAATGACGTTTTTGGACGCAAAAATTCTTACAAAACTATCTATTTCGGCGAAATAAAAATTTGTACATGAAAAAACGATCGTTCAAGTACTAATAAAATTCAATACGAACATTTACAAAAAAATTTGAAGAAAATCGGTTCAGTAGTTTTTCGCCAATCCATATCATCGCAAAGTCATTTTTCAAAAAACACCATTTCGAGATATTCGCGTTTAAAGTTTCAAGTTTGGGTGTAACTATTTTTCTACTGCTCAAATCTCAATGAAAATTTGGGGAAATGTTCTCAAGAAGTTGTTCTTTAAGATAAAGCAAAAAAAAACCCCCTTAAGAGAGCTCAAAGATGGTTAAAAGATATTAATTAGATTCCCGTTGCGATTCTTAACTACGCGTCTACTGTGTTATAAATCGACCCTTATATATGCATTTCACTATTAATACGCTTTTTTTGTTGCAGTGGAATAAACTTGGTTCCCGTTCTGGAATTTCTTGGCATAGCGTCACCAGCAATTGCAGAGAAAGTAGCTACAGGAAGCTCCTTTGTTGTGGCCTACGCCGTACACAAAGTATTTGCACCTGCTAGAATTAGTATTACGTTGGGTGCAATACCGTTCATCATCCGATATTTGAGATCAAAAGGATTCCAGTTTTCAAAAATCAAAAAAATTAGCTATTTTTAAATATTTGTTTTTATACCATTGTTATCAGAATTAAGTATGATGTTATATAATCCTATGAAGTTCAATACTTTATAATTTGGTTGACCAAATAAAAAGGTGACACTCAAATTAAAATTGATTTTAAATTAGTTTCCATAAAATTTAGCAAATATTTGGCCAACATTGTTATTTTATCTGAAAGGTTATAGAACTGCGCAAATTAGTCGAAAACTTTCTTCAAGAAGATTTAAATAAATTTAATATTAACATTTAATCATTCGGAAGTGACCTCCGGAAATGTTGTGTTATTATTTTCTATTTATTTTTGTCAATTTTTATTTTGGCAATTCTAATACCCCTATGAAAAATTCGCCACGCTGTAAATGGTTTATTTCCGACACTACATAGAAGATATATTCTTGAAAGGCATCACCAGGCGAGTCGATCTAGCCATGCCCGTCCGGCCGTCTGACCGTTTCTACGCAAACTAGTCCCCCAGTTTAAAAGCTATTTGGATCAAACTTAGCAAGAGCCGGTAACATATTGCTCCCATAAAAACAGTCGGGAAAAAAGAAAATAGGAATATAACTTCGTTGTTTTTGGGTTTTAATTTTACGAAACTCCGACGACTATATCATAAAGCTGCCATAGTAACGATTAAAAACATTATTGCAAAAGAGACCGAGCATCGAAATATAGAATATTTAATTTTTGTAACAGCTGCAACAGAATATAAACTTAGCCAAAGTTTTCTTCCTTTATTGTTTTTGGTTAAAATAAAATAAAAAAACATTATTTTAGTAAAAATAGTTATATATGTGTAAAGGGTAGCTTTTCGAGTGGTGTAGGTTTATTTAGGGATAATTAGGTTGAATATATATTACATATTAAATTGTAACTTAAAGCGTCTTAACACGTTCTGCCCAGGAGTACGACTCTATTTCGACTGCCTATAATTATAAGTCTGGTAACACTACCAAAAGGGACTTATCGATACTTTTCGAGGGTTGATGACGATATACTAAATTAGGCGCTGGTCACAGTCGGCCTCTCCTGACAAATCTCTGCGTCCTCGCAAGATTCAGGGGGTGGATCATCTTCCAAGTCGTCATCTTCATCTGGCTCCTCTGGTGGCAGCTCACACCAGCGTTTCATCTTGTCGGACGAATACACCGACTTGTAGTGTCTCTGCTTCCGTTGTGCGTGAGGGATATCTTCAACAAGATATCTGTCGTTCGGCAGGACCTTGTTGATTATAAAAGGACCTTTATAGCGAGGCTCCAATTTGCGAGATGTGCCCGTGCTGAATGGCTCATTCTCGACCAACACAAGGTCTCCAAGGCTGTACACAGTTGGCTTTGCATGTTTGGCATCGTAGCGTTTCTTGGCAGTAGCTCGATGATCGTTGACAGTTTTCGCAGCATCTGCTCTAAGCTGATTCAATTCCGCATCTGTTAGCATCTTTTGGTCCTGGCTTTGAATGATGTTGGTTATGGCGTTCTTCAAGATATCTCGGGGTTCATAACCGTACAGGAGCTGAAATGGGGAGCATTTAGTAGTACTATTTACCATGGTATTGATGCTCCACTGGATTGATCGAATGTTGTCATCCCAACGCTTATCGATGTCATTCGATGGCAACAACATAGACAAGATGATTCGGTTTGTTCGCTCTGCGTGACCATTGGCTCTGGGTGTCCTTACAGCATTTAAGATATGTTTTACATTGTTTGATTTGCAGTACTTCTCGAAGTCTTTGGATGTAAAAGCTGTTCCACGATCGGTGACAATGCGATCTGGCATTCCCAGGTAGCTGGTTACCTCTTGCAGGACATCCAGGACATGTTTTGTTGCTGTACTTTTCACTGCTCGTACGATGGTGAATTTGGTGAATGCGTCGACTATCACGAGAATATGCTCGTTTCTCTTGGAACTCTTTGGAAATGGTCCCAGGTGGTCCATATGAATCGTGGAAAAGGGGATCGGCTTGATGTCATCGTAGTGGTATTGACCTTCCTGACGTCCACCTGGTGTTTTATAAAGCGCACAGCCCACACATGACTTGATGTAGCTTTTTACATAGTTTCGCATTCGGGGAAACCAAAACATATTTAGAATTCGTGCCATTGTCTTATCTGTGCTCATATGTCCGGCCTTATCGTGACATTCATGTAGAATCTTAACTGCTTCGGCACAACCCATAACAAATTGTCGTTATGTTTTCGAAACAAGCGATCTTGCTCAATCACGTACTCGTCGGTTTCAGCTTTCTTTTTCAACTTCATGTCTGCAACAATTTTCTGAATCTTCTCGTCTTGTAGTTGTATAGAAAATAGCCAATCCTCTTCGTCGATTATGGTCTTTGCTATCTTCAGACATGCAGTATCCATCTCTCGAGCATCTTCGAATGGAGCTCGACTGAGTGCGTCTACATGGTTCATATGGGTTCCTGCTCGATGGACGATGTCTATATCGAATTCCTGAATACGCAACCACCATCTTGCGATCCGGGGTATTAGTTCTCTTTTTTCCATCGACGTCTTAAGGGCATTACAGTCGGTGACAACCTTTATCTTCTTGCCATAAATGTAATATTTAAATCGCTCCAATGACTCCACGACGGCTAGAGCCTCAAGTTCGTAGCTGTGATAATTCTTCTCCGGTTTGGAAGTAGCTCGGCTATAATAAGCGATTGGTTTCAGCTGATCCAACTCACGCTGTAGCAATACTCCGGCTAAACCAACGGCACTGGCATCCGTATGTAGTTCATGCTCTGCGTCTAGGCGATAACTAATGACAACTGGATTTGAGATTAGACAATTCTTCAACTCGTCGAAGGCTTCTTCTTGTTGCGTTTTCCAAGTAAACAGCTTATCCTTGAGCAATAGGCTTCTCAATGGCGCTGAAATTATAGCATACCCAGCAACAAATTTTCGGAAATAACCAGTGAGACCCAAAAACCTTCTCACATCGGTAACATTTGCTGGTTTCGGAAACATTCTGATGGCGTTCGTCTTAATTTCTCCAGGACTGATTCCTTCTGCGTGTATCTGGTGACCAAGAAATGTGATTGACTGCTTATATAACTCACATTTGTCCAGGTTTAAAGTTAATCCGCACTCCTTTAAGACTTTCAGGATCCTAGCAAGCTTCTCGTACATCTCATCAAATGTTTGGCTGCCAATAAGGATGTCGTCCATGTAGTGTATCATATCGCCTTTCTGCACCCTCTTCTGTAGCTCTGCCATGAGTCGATTGAAAACTGCAGGTGCGTTCTTCAATCCGAACGGAAGTCGCTTGAACTCGTACAATCCCTCTGTGGTGATGAACGCTGTATACTTTCGGCTCTCTGGTGCTATCTCTATCTGATAGTATCCACTGTTGAGATCCAGGGATGAGAAGTACTTAAATCTTTTCGCCTCCTGCAGACGCTCTTCGATGTTCGGCACTGGGAAATTCTCCTTCTTTATCAGCTTATTCAGGCGGTGGTAATCGACGCACATTCGATCGCTACCATTTGGCTTCTTGATGAGCACCACCGGGCTGGCGTACTCTGACGTTGACATCGTGATCACATCCTGTTTTAGCAGCTCGTCGACCATTCTGCTAACGACTTTCTTCTTTGGCTCGGAAACTCGGTATGGGGCTTGTGCTACTACCTGATTGCTTTCGACGGTGATGTGTGCTTTGACCACGCTTGTCTTTCCTATGCCTTCCAATCCTGTCGAGAAAACATTGGCGAACTTCTCCAGTAAACTGCGCATTTGCTCACTTTCCTTGTCGTTCTGAAAATTTTCCAGAAGCTTCGCGATCTTGGTAGCATTTACAGGGGTTGTCGGCTGATGGACTGCTCGTTGGATTTTTGAATCGCCTGACTCAAAGTTGAGCTCGAGATGAGCGGAGATGATGACGTCCTGTCCCAATAGAAAATCCTCTAGCAATAGATCGTCGTCCGCTATATACACCTTTGCTGTGATCGTCTTCCCATCGATTCCTATATCCACAGTCATCGCTTCTGTAAGGATTCGTGAACCTCCGCAAATGCCTCTTATCTTCATAGAGCACTTGTGGCGCTTGGCGTTGATTTGCTCGGCAACTGCTTGTCGGATGAGACTGGCTTGACTACCTGTGTCGATGAAAGCGCTGTAATCGTGCGAGTGTACGCAGATTTTTCGGGTGAACAGATTGTCCTGATTTGCGGCTCCTAAACGCATGACATTCGTAGCTTGGCAACGTCCGTTTGGCTCGTGGAACTTGTTGCATTTGGTACAGCGTGACTTTTTGCTCTCCTTTGGACACGAATTAGCAAAGTGCCCCATTTCTCCGCAATTGTAACACTTCAGGGATTCCTTCGACCTTGGCGGCTTAACTTCGGTGTCCTGCTTCTGCTCGAAGTTGCTGGCTTTCGTTGAATATGGTTTCTGGGTCGTACTCGGCCTGCCTCTGTAAAGAAAATAAGACTCAGCTGCATCTCGAAGTTGTTTCATTGTTGAGAAATGAATTGCTGCAATACTATTTTGCAATTCTCGATGTTGTAGACCAGAGCGAACATATCTGATGATCGCTGCCTCGCTGAGCTTGTATCGCACCCCAAGGGCTGACATCCTGAAACAGTACTCCTTTACCGTCTCCTTTGATCGCCTGGTTGCATTGGCCATGTTGAAATGCACTTCTGCTTCGTCTGGATTGGCACCAAACTCGTCCTGTATAGCCTCGGCGAAGTGCTTCCATGTAGTATGTAGAACGGGCGATGAATCTAGCCACATCTTGGCTGGACCTTTTAGCCTGGTATAAATGGCAAGTAACAGGAACTTCTCGTCCCACTGGTAGGCATCAACCACTTTGTTGACACGATCGATGAACTGTTCGACTGAAATGGCACTGTCGTCGCTGGGATCATATTCTGGCAAGGTGTTGGCAATTTCCTTGACTGAAGCTTGCCTCACGTTGTTCGTAGCCTGTACAGGAATGTTCCTCTCGTTGCTGATTTCGTCGATATCCAAATCGATAATTGGCTGCTGTTGCTGCTGATAATTTTCTGCCTGTGCAGGTGCTGCGTTTCCCATTTGAACGGTAACTAATTGCGCTAGCATGTCCTTTAGTTCCTTCATTTCGTTTTGCAATTGAGATATTGCTGCTGACTGAGCTGACATCGCTTCTTCTTGCTGCATGGTGAGCCCCACTGATGCTGGCAACTCGACGTCCTCTGATTGTTCAAATTCTATTAATCTTTGAACCAATTCGGCTCTCGTGCCCGAAACTGACGCGTTTCTAGATCTTAGCAGGAATCTTAACACGTCGCACTTAAGTTCTGCTATCTTCGGCATTTCTGGCAATTCCTGGTATTTTTGACTACTAGGTGCAAGCGAGACAACTATATGTACCTCACAATCTGCTTGTTCACTCTACGAATACACACAAACTCCTTGTATGCTTCTAGAGAATTCGGCTTCTAGAGAATTCTTATTTTCTTCGAATTGTGAAATTCACCAATACTCACAACTGGTTTGTGTGTATGTGCTCTGGCTTCTCTTGAGACTTCTGCTGCTCTTGAGACTTCTGCGGCCACAGGCTCACTAAGACTCCCGATCTGTTTCGCTTGAAACCGCCTGCCACGTAGAACTGGAACACATCCGTAATCTGCAATTTCCGTTGTCACATAGACCTTTGGGAACACATCCCATTGCAAACTTTCCACGCCGACGATTTTCGCTGCTTTTCCTAGAGTTTTTGGCACAACTCCTCCGCTTCACACATATCCAACCACACTAATCCCACTTCTGAACTGTAAAGGGTAGCTTTTCGAGTGGTGTAGGTTTATTTAGGGATAATTAGGTTGAATATATATTACATATTAAATTGTAACTTAAAGCGTCTTAACACGTTCTGCCCAGGAGTACGACTCTATTTCGACTGCCTATAATTATAAGTCTGGTAACACTACCAAAAGGGACTTATCGATACTTTTCGAGGGTTGATGACGATATACTAAATTAGGCGCTGGTCACATATGCAATTATACTATTACTATGTTACCTTATTTTTTTTACATTATTGATTTACTTGGGTAACAGATTTACGTGCGCTGATTCCGAATCTGGTCAGGCAAATTACATCATTGTTATTTAAATTATTTAACAATATCAAGTGCGATTCATGAGCTTTTTTCTATATTTTTTTCAAGCAAATGCTGTTAAACGAAATTTTTAGGAAATGAGGGCACACTACTCTTTTAAAAACTATAATAAAAGGCCAAAGAGATGCACTGGTTAAAAAAATGGAAATCATGAATGATAGGCAAACTGTTATTGAGGTTTGTTTAAATTGTTGTTACTTTTATGTCTTTTGAAGCTGACAAGCAGAAACTGCGTGGCGATTAGCATACCGAAGTCTATTTCATTATTTTTATTTTTGTTTAACACGCCACAAATCCCAAAAAAGCGTGTAGCGGGTCCTCCATTCTTGGGCCGGGTGTCGTCTTGCCAGAGAGTTTGTATGTGTAAGCAGACGATTCCGGTGTCGACTTGAGGATTTACAAATCGTCCCCTTTTCTTCGTGCTTAAGCTTATTCCCATCAATATAGAGGCAAACGTGTTAATGTTTCATCGAGAAGCCGAGCACTCAAATTCGTCTCAGCATTCGTAGTGGTGCTACCAGCAAGCTACCAAGAAATGCAGTGTTATCTGCATATGTGGCCAGGAGTATACCACGAGCAACTGGGCTTGGCAGATACGAAGCGTAAATTGTGTACAGGACCGGAACAAGGACGCTTCCCTGTGGGACACCAGCACGAATTGGGCGAAGTCCAGAACGATGTCCACGAATATTTACAGCAAACTCCCTGTTATCTATGAACGATTCGATGAGCTTCCAGAGTTTCTCACGCAAAAGGTGCACTAGCTTGTGGAACAATACCTCGTGCCAAATACTGTCAAAGGCCTGTCGAACGTCGAGAAAAACGGCTGAGCAGTATTTGTGATCTTTGAAAGCACTTAGAACTTTGTTAACTACTCTGTGCACTTGCTCGATAGCACAATGGCGACTACGGAAACAAAACTGGTGGTTCGGAAGTGCTTCTTCAAAGGCGTTAATAGATAGAAGTCTACTAGGCATGAGCCGCTCAAAAATATTGGAGAAAGAGGACAGAGGAAAGGCCCGGACACTCTGAGGCAATAAGGTGGTTGCAGGGGATGCCTTTGTACACTGCAAAATCAATGGCCGTCGGAAGGTTGTCAGTGATCCAAGGAAAATGAGTGGGTCCGCCAGCAGCCAAAATCTGCATGTTTGTGTCAATGATAACTGACATCAGGGTGTTTCCCCGAAGGCACGAGCGCCTGCACCATCAGAAACGATGGTGCGCATTCCAACCCTCTCCAAAGAGGAAGCGGCTACCTACAAAACCAAATAGACGCATATATTCCTCAGAAGACCAAAAAAGGTGGTGACCAGGTGGACAGTAGACAGCACCAAACGAAATTCTGACAAACCCTGTGACCAAACTAATGGCAACTGCTTGCAGGTGTCATCGTCGGCTGGTAAAATGTGTATCTAAGATCATTAAAATGTCAATGTTGCGTTCCTGGAGGAGGTCCTCAATCTCAAGAGATTTGCCAACCAAGTTGTTGAAGTTCCAAATAAAGATGCTTATACTGTAAGCAGGTACTGCGTGGTGATCAGTACACCGGAGTCTATTAGAAAACTGTAACTGAGCAGAAACATAACTAATGTTTAAATAGGGTATGCTGGGATGGAAAACCAATTTATCCTGTGTGCACTTACTTGTCGTAAGTCAATTCATTTTTCTTTTATATGAAAAAACTAATAGTCTTACGAATAGTGTGTTTTACAAAACTCAATTCACCTTCACGCTTTGTAGTATCACTAACCATATAACATATAGACTGGTCATTTCATACAACCAATATGGACACTCAAAAAACTTTGCGGGAGGCTCCACAGCTGGCAGCGGCCATGATACAATAACATAAGGCTGTCTAAACGTTCGGGTTTTGGTCAGTGCGTGTTCGTTTTTTGAAGGAAAAGGTTGTCTGCGGACGAATTTTTACAGAATTAACTCTTGAGCAACATGACTTTTTCCAATGTGTGCCGTTGAAAAAATAAAACAATTAGAATTTATATTTGTACACTACATTGACGATACTTTTAAAATAACAAAGAATGTAAAGAAACTTTAATAATCGCAGCCGAAAATGTTAGTATAAGTTTGGAAATAAAAAAGGTTTTATTTTAAGATTAGAATATATTTTAGAATTAAGAATCTTAACAAAAGACTTAGCATTCAAAGACAAAAACAACGCCTAATTTCAAATTCCAATTAAATTATAAAAAGTTAAACTCCTTTTATTTTGAAAGGCAAAAAAAACCCTGAACCATCTAAGGGTTCAATGTTATTCACCTTAAGTCAAAGTTGAAAATATATATTTGTAAAGTATATATATTCTTGATCAGCATCACCAGCCGATTCGAATTAGCCATGTCCGACCGTTCGTAACTATAACTTTGTTGTTTCCTAAATTAATTCCATATACTCCAAGATATAATACATTTTAGCAATCTCAGAACAATTCGCAGATTGCAACCCACGGTTTCTGTTATTTTTTTAATTTTACAAAACATTTGTCGTCTATTTTACAAAGATATTTTTATACCATACCATACCAGCGGGTTTTATAATTTCAGTCATAAGTTTGCAACGCAGTGAAGGAGACATTTCCGACCCTATAAAGTATATATATTCTTGATCAGCATCAGCAGGAGAGTCGATCTAGCCATGTCCGTCCGTTCGTCCGTTTCTACGCAAACTAATTCCTAAGTTTTAAAGCTATTAGCTTGAAACTTTCCCAAAAGTTGTCTTTCTATTGCATTTAGTATATAAGTCGAAACGAGCCGCATCGGGCGACTATATCATATAGCCGCCATATAACTGAACGATCGGAAATGCCAAAACTTTGGTGTTTTTAAAGTTGGGATTTTCTATGGGTTTTATTTTTGGGCAATCAATTCGACCTACCAAATTTCATAAGGATCGGCCGACTGTAACCTAAAGCTGCCATATAACTGAACGATTGGAAATGAAATAACTTTGGTGTTTTTAAAGTTAGGAATTTGGGATTTTTTATGAGTATTAAGAATGCATCATATGAATATCCGATTTTGGAGATATAATGTACAGAATATTCTGCAAGGGTATATCAACTTCGGCTCCGCCCGAAGCTAGCTTTCCTTTCTTGTTTAAATATACTGTAGGAAAAGCAAGAAATTTCCACTTCGAACAGCTTCATACATTTCAAATTCATTTCGCCTTACTTGATAAATTTGCAAATGTATTATCTCTATTGCAGGCTTCGACATTAACGTGTACTTCCAATTCAAGAAGTTTTACAACAGCCCAATGGCTGTCCACGATATTACAATTTTTACGGTAAACCACCGTCGTCTCGATTTTCTTGCCGATACAAATTTTTCTGCATAAATACAATTTTCAATCCAAAAAGTATGAAGACCATACTTTTGCCTTTTTACATGAAGTACGTAATGGTCTATTCACTTTTACATGAAAAACTCGTGCTATCATGGCACGCCGGTCATAGGGCATCCAAACTGATACTATATTCTCTGTAATATCCTTCCTTCACATTCAAATTTGTTTAACCAAGCAATTTAAATTTCTCGCAAAATAAATTTGTTTGTAATTGAAATTAGTTTTCCCTTTTTTAGTAAAGGTAAGTTTATGTTTTATTCATTATTCATTCATTGTTTGGGGCTATTGGGGATGCTTTAAAGCTTTACAGATAATCATCACCGAAATTATCTTATTGAGTGAATTCCAACGTCGGTCGATCAATTGAACACGGTTCTCGCTGAGTGCAAAAAAAAATATTTGTTTTCCTCCTATATAAAAACATGTGAAACGCTATACAAAAATGTTGAAGAACTAGAAAAAATAATTTAAATTTTACTAGTCCAAGCCCGTCTTTAATAATATACTTTAATACTTGTAGACGATTTCTACACGCGTCGAAGCTACAGTACCCAATCGACGTCTCAGTCATCAGCCACAAAGTCTTCCGCCCCATCGAAGTCGGTTTCCACAGAGACATCTGGAGGTGAAAAATTTAATAAAAAAGAGCAACTAAAACGGGCATTTAAGGAATATGGAGTTTCCATTGTGGCGTTCCATGCGGGAATTTCGTTAATTTCACTTGGAGGTTTCTATGTACTCGTATCTAGGTAAGGTATTAAGGAGGGGTATACCTTTTTTTGTCGAAAAAAAAATAGGAAAGTTTGGATTTTTTTATGGATTTTTTTATTGCTTTATTAAATGAATGATTATATGTTCTGAAAGTTTAGATTGTTGACAATGTTTATGCAAAAAATTTTAAAAAAATATTTAATAGTTTTTAAGGTGTGGCTGTTTCCCTTAAATGCCTTTTTTTTAGAGCCTTGCGGTGATAATTCCCCAGGACGAACGGGTCAACTGAAACCGAAAAAATAAAAATATTTCATTAGTTTAAAGTAGTATTCTTTACTTGAACGAACTTTTTTAAAATTTTTTTATTTTGTACCTACGGGAACGTTTTATGCAAAAAATGACGTTTTTGGACGCAAAAATTCTTACAAAACTATCTATTTCGGCGAAATAAAAATTTGTACATGAAAAAACGATCGTTCAAGTACTAATAAAATTCAATACGAACATTTACAAAAAAATTTGAAGAAAATCGGTTCAGTAGTTTTTCGCCAATCCATATCATCGCAAAGTCATTTTTCAAAAAACACCATTTCGAGATATTCGCGTTTAAAGTTTCAAGTTTGGGTGTAACTATTTTTCTACTGCTCAAATCTCAATGAAAATTTGGGGAAATGTTCTCAAGAAGTTGTTCTTTAAGATAAAGCAAAAAAAAAAACCCCCTTAAGAGAGCTCAAAGATGGTTAAAAGATATTAATTAGATTCCCGTTGCGATTCTTAACTACGCGTCTACTGTGTTATAAATCGACCCTTATATATGCATTTCACTATTAATACGCTTTTTTTGTTGCAGTGGAATAAACTTGGTTCCCGTTCTGGAATTTCTTGGCATAGCGTCACCAGCAATTGCAGAGAAAGTAGCTACAGGAAGCTCCTTTGTTGTGGCCTACGCCGTACACAAAGTATTTGCACCTGCTAGAATTAGTATTACGTTGGGTGCAATACCGTTCATCATCCGATATTTGAGATCAAAAGGATTCCAGTTTTCAAAAATCAAAAAAAATTAGCTATTTTTAAATATTTGTTTTTATACCATTGTTATCAGAATTAAGTATGATGTTATATAATCCTATGAAGTTCAATACTTTATAATTTGGTTGACCAAATAAAAAGGTGACACTCAAATTAAAATTGATTTTAAATTAGTTTCCATAAAATTTAGCAAATATTTGGCCAACATTGTTATTTTATCTGAAAGGTTATAGAACTGCGCAAATTAGTCGAAAACTTTCTTCAAGAAGATTTAAATAAATTTAATATTAACATTTAATCATTCGGAAGTGACCTCCGGAAATGTTGTGTTATTATTTTCTATTTATTTTTGTCAATTTTTATTTTGGCAATTCTAATACCCCTATGAAAAATTCGCCACGCTGTAAATGGTTTATTTCCGACACTACATAGAAGATATATTCTTTATAAGCATCACCAGGCGAGTCGATCTAGCCATGCCCGTCCGGCCGTCTGACCGTTTCTACGCAAACTAGTCCCCCAGTTTAAAAGCTATTTGGATCAAACTTAGCAAGAGCCGGTAACATATTGCTCCCATAAAAACAGTCGGGAAAAAAGAAAATAGGAATATAACTTCGTTGTTTTTGGGTTTTAATTTTACGAAACTCCGACGACTATATCATAAAGCTGCCATAGTAACGATTAAAAACAGTATTGCAAAAGAGACCGAGCATCGAAATATAGAATATTTAATTTTTGTAACAGCTGCAACAGAATATAAACTTAGCCAAAGTTTTCTTCCTTTATTGTTTTTGGTTAAAATAAAATAAAACAAGAAAGGAAAGCTAACTTCGGGCGGAGCCGAAGTTGATATACCCTTGCAGAATACTCTGTAAATTATATTTTCCAAAATTATTCATATGATGCATTCTTAATACTCATAAAAAATCCCAACTTCGTAACTTTAAAAACACCAAAGTTATGGCATTTCCGATCAATCAGTTATATGGCAGCTATAGGATATAGTCGGTCGATCCTTATGAAGTTTGGTAGGTAGGATTGATTGGCCAAAAATAAAACCCATAGAAAATCCCAACTTCCTAACTTTACAAACACCAAAGTTATGGCATTTCCGATCAATCAGTTATATGGAAGCTATAGGATATAGTCGGCCGATCTTTATAAAATTTGGTACGTCAAATTGAATGGCCAAATACAAAACACATAGAAAATCCCAACTTCCTAACTTTACAAACACCAAAGTTGTGGCATTTCCGATCGTTCAGTTATATGGCAGCTATAGGATATAGTCGGCCGATCCCGGCCGTTCCGACTTATATACTGCGTGCAAAGGAAAGAAGGGTGTGTGCAAAGTTTCAATTCGATAGCTTTAAAACTGAGAGACTAGTTTGCGTAGAAACAGACAGACGGACAGACGGACAGACGGACAGACGGACAGACAGACGGACAGACGGACAGACGGACAGACGGACATGGCTATATCAACTCAGGAGGTGATCCTGATCAAGAATATATATACTTTATAGGGTCGGAGATGTCTCCTTCACTGCGTTGCACACTTTTGACCAAAATTATAATACCCTCTGCAAGGGTATAAAAACATTATTTTAGTAAAAATAGTTATATATGCAATTATACTATTACTATGTTACCTTATTTTTTTTACATTATTGATTTACTTGTGTAATAGATTTACGTGCGCTGATTCCGAATCTGGTCAGGCAAATTACATCATTGTTATTTAAATTATTTAACAATATCAAGTGCGATTCATGAGCTTTTTTCTATATTTTTTCAAGCAAATGCTGTTAAACGAAATTTTTAGGAAATGAGGGCACACTACTCTTTTAAAAACTATAATAAAAGGCCAAAGAGATGCACTGGTTAAAAAAATGGAAATCATGAATGATAGGCAAACTGTTATTGAGGTTTGTTTAAATTGTTGTTACTTTTATGTCTTTTGAAGCTGACAAGCAGAAACTGCGTGGCGATTAGCATACCGAAGTCTATTTCATTATTTTTATTTTTGTTTAACACGTCACAAATCCCAAAAAAGCGTGTAGCGGGTCCTCCATTCTTGGGCCGGGTGTCGTCTTGCCAGAGAGTTTGTATGTGTAAGCAGACGATTCCGGTGTCGACTTGAGGATTTACAAATCGTCCCCTTTTCTTCGTGCTTAAGCTTATTCCCATCAATATAGAGGCAAACGTGTTAATGTTTCATCGAGAAGCCGAGCACTCAAATTCGTCTCAGAATTCGTAGTGGTGCTACCAGCAAGCTACCAAGAAATGCAGTGTTATCTGCATATGTGGCCAGGAGTATACCACGAGCAACTGGGCTTGGCAGATACGAAGCGTAAATTGTGTACAGGACCGGAACAAGGACGCTTCCCTGTGGGACACCAGCACGAATTGGCGAAGTCCAGAACGATGTCCACGAATATTTACAGCAAACTCCCTGTTATCTATGAACGATTCGATGAGCTTCCAGAGTTTCTCACGCAAAAGGTGCACTAGCTTGTGGAACAATACCTCGTGCCAAATACTGTCAAAGGCCTGTCGAACGTCGAGAAAAACGGCTGAGCAGTATTTGTGATCTTTGAAAGCACTCAGAACTTTGTTAACTACTCTGTGCACTTGCTCGATAGCACAATGGCGACTACGGAAACAAAACTGGTGGTTCGGAAGTGCTTCTTCAAAGGCGTTAATAGATAGAAGTCTACTAGGCATGAGCCGCTCAAAAATATTGGAGAAAGAGGACAGAGGAAAGGCCCGGACACTCTGAGGCAATAAGGTGGTTGCAGGGGATGCCTTTGTACACTGCAAAATCAATGGCCGTCGGAAGGTTGTCAGTGATCCAAGGAAAATGAGTGGGTCCGCCAGCAGCCAAAATCTGCATGTTTGTGTCAATGATAACTGACATCAGGGTGTTTCCCCGAAGGCACGAGCGCCTGCACCATCAGAAACGATGGTGCGCATTCCAACCCTCTCCAAAGAGGAAGCGGCTACCTACAAAACCAAATAGACGCATATATTCCTCAGAAGACCAAAAAAGGTGGTGACCAGGTGGACAGTAGACAGCACCAAACGAAATTCTGACAAACCCTGTGACCAAACTAATGGCAACTGCTTGCAGGTGTCATCGTCGGCTGGTAAAATGTGTATCTAAGATCATTAAAATGTCAATGTTGCGTTCCTGGAGGAGGTCCTCAATCTCAAGAGATTTGCCAACCAAGTTGTTGAAGTTCCAAATAAAGATGCTTATACTGTAAGCAGGTACTGCGTGGTGATCAGTACACCGGAGTCTATTAGAAAACTGTAACTGAGCAGAAACATAACTAATGTTTAAATAGGGTATGCTGGGATGGAAAACCAATTTATCCTGTGTGCACTTACTTGTCGTAAGTCAATTCATTTTTCTTTTATATGAAAAAACTAATAGTCTTACGAATAGTGTGTTTTACAAAACTCAATTCACCTTCACGCTTTGTAGTATCACTAACCATATAACATATAGACTGGTCATTTCATACAACCAATATGGACACTCAAAAAACTTTGCGGGAGGCTCCACAGCTGGCAGCGGCCATGATACAATAACATAAGGCTGTCTAAACGTTCGGGTTTTGGTCAGTGCGTGTTCGTTTTTTGAAGGAAAAGGTTGTCTGCGGACGAATTTTTTACAGAATTAACTCTTGAGCAACATGACTTTTTCCAATGTGTGCCGTTGAAAAAATAAAACAATTAGAATTTATATTTGTACACTACATTGACGATACTTTTAAAATAACAAAGAATGTAAAGAAACTTTAATAATCGCAGCCGAAAATGTTAGTATAAGTTTGGAAATAAAAAAGGTTTTATTTTAAGATTAGAATATATTTTAGAATTAAGAATCTTAACAAAAGACTTAGCATTCAAAGACAAAAACAACGCCTAATTTCAAATTCCAATTAAATTATAAAAAGTTAAACTCCTTTTATTTTGAAAGGCAAAAAAAACCCCTGAACCATCTAAGGGTTCAATGTTATTCACCTTAAGTCAAAGTTGAAAATATATATTTGTAAAGTATATATATTCTTGATCAGCATCACCAGCCGATTCGAATTAGCCATGTCCGACCGTTCGTAACTATAACTTTGTTGTTTCCTAAATTAATTCCATATACTCCAAGATATAATACATTTTAGCAATCTCAGAACAATTCGCAGATTGCAACCCACGGTTTCTGTTATTTTTTTAATTTTACAAAACATTTGTCGTCTATTTTACAAAGATATTTTTATACCATACCATACCAGCGGGTTTTATAATTTCAGTCATAAGTTTGCAACGCAGTGAAGGAGACATTTCCGACCCTATAAAGTATATATATTCTTGATCAGCATCAGCAGGAGAGTCGATCTAGCCATGTCCGTCCGTTCGTCCGTTTCTACGCAAACTAATTCCTCAGTTTTAAAGCTATTAGCTTGAAACTTTCCCAAAAGTTGTCTTTCTATTGCATTTAGTATATAAGTCGAAACGAGCCGCATCGGGCGACTATATCATATAGCCGCCATATAACTGAACGATCGGAAATGCCAAAACTTTGGTGTTTTTAAAGTTGGGATTTTCTATGGGTTTTATTTTTGGGCAATCAATTCGACCTACCAAATTTCATAAGGATCGGCCGACTGTAACCTAAAGCTGCCATATAACTGAACGATTGGAAATGAAATAACTTTGGTGTTTTTAAAGTTAGGAATTTGGGATTTTTTATGAGTATTAAGAATGCATCATATGAATATCCGATTTTGGAGATATAATGTACAGAATATTCTGCAAGGGTATATCAACTTCGGCTCCGCCCGAAGCTAGCTTTCCTTTCTTGTTTAAATATACTGTAGGAAAAGCAAGAAATTTCCACTTCGAACAGCTTCATACATTTCAAATTCATTTCGCCTTACTTGATAAATTTGCAAATGTATTATCTCTATTGCAGGCTTCGACATTAACGTGTACTTCCAATTCAAGAAGTTTTACAACAGCCCAATGGCTGTCCACGATATTACAATTTTTACGGTAAACCACCGTCGTCTCGATTTTCTTGCCGATACAAATTTTTCTGCATAAATACAATTTTCAATCCAAAAAGTATGAAGACCATACTTTTGCCTTTTTAC